ACTTGCTTTATTCATGGTACAAATAATCCATCATGCCATAACCAATACAAGAATCATGTCAGATTAAGAAGATAGACAACACGGGCCCACAGGACATAGTACAGAATACCTCAATTCCAAAACATCAAAACTATATGCACAACAACAGAGCTACAAGAGATCCCAACACAGAAGACCACACCAAAGCCCTCGGAACTAACAAACTGAACCCTGCTCCGGTCTCCATTCCTGGCAAAGGAGCAATGTCCAAACCCTGTCCGGCGGCGATCCCTGACACATAGCATAACACCGCAACCATTACCATGACCATTACATGTGTTGTAGATAATGAACCAAAGTTTGCCATTTTTCAGTAACAAAATCAATGGGCAGAACCTTAAAGATTTTTTGTGGACAAGAAAAAGGAACCACAAAGAATCGAACCCGAGAAATTCGGAATTTATAGGTGGTGTTGTGGGAAATGAGAAGCTTCCCAATTGGTTCCTTGTAATTTTGGTATGTATCTGTGATATTAACCTTGTGCTAGTAAGTAGTATAATTTAGACATGCCATGCCTTCTAGGCCACGGCTTGTCTTCTGGTGGAGACTGGAGACCCAAAAAAAAGAGAAAGATGGAAGGTAGCTTTAGGTCCCCAAAGTTTAAAAAGAAAAGGTTTAGCAACTGAAATATCTTTATTTTTAAATAAAATTCTCTTATTTATAATCTGTATTGGAAAATGGGGAGAGTTAGATGAAAGATAACCAATAATATCAAGGGATTTGTCCCTTATCTAATACAATGGTTTATGTTATGCAATCTTGTGTAATTCAAATTGCACAACATTTTTTACTTCAAATTTTGATTCTAGTTTACCAATTAAAATATTTATATTTTTCAAATTAAACTGAACTTTTAAAATGTAATCTAAATATTGAAATTATTAAAATATTATTAATGAAATAATACAAGAATTAATTCATTAATGTTATTGTAATAAACTTATATAAGTTTGAACGGCACATCAAAATACCTTTTCGTATCAATTAATGAGCATATAATTTTAAAAAATTTTAAGTAGGTGAGTTGCCTTTGTTGGACAAACGGTGGGTACTAGCCGTTTAGCTGCCCATATGTTTGCCTAATTCCCTTTCAGATTAGCAAAATTGTCACCTCGGTGGACCCAAGTGGTTTTTTTTTTTCTTCTTCTTCTTTTCTTTTAGTCCTTTCTTATAATAGATCGTACCAAGCGTCACATTCAGATGAAGGGTAAATGTTAGTGGCGTTAGAGATTAAAGCTCCACAATACTTTGATTGTGAGTTTGAGTCTCGTATACACAAGGTTTTCTTTTGGGTTTTTGTTTAGGTTCCATGACTCCAATCTATATAATTTATTTAAGTAAGCTCACAATCATAATTCCTTTCCCATATGAGATTTTGAGTGTCACACCACCCATTTCTTAGTCCCTTTCCATTTGAGTTTTACGCAGAAATCATGAACCATTCATTTATTTTTAAGCGGACTTCGTTCATCACTAAATTGATGGACGAAAGAGTTAGATACTTTTTCAATGTAGATGCAGAATTCAAGGAACTCTAAAACCTGTTGATAGAAAGAATGCACCAAAGGGATTCAAATTAGATGCAAAGCCAAACACGTATTCCTATTTTCAAGTTCATAAATAACTGTTTTTCTTCAAAAATAACCATCAATTTTTCATATAAATACCTCTCACCATTCTCATTCTTCCTCAGGCCTGCAATAAGCAAGGAATAAAAAGAAATCACCCTAACAAAAAAAAAAAAACACCCAAAAACACCTTTTCTTCTTCTCCAAGGCAGGTCTCTATATTTTCCTGTTTGCCATGGACATGAAGAAGATCTCCTGTGCTGTCCTCGTGGCTGCTGCCAGCATGAGCGCAGTCTTGGCCAGCACTGAGGCTCCTGCACCTGGTCCCAGTTCATCTGCAACCATGCCTGTGGTTGGGTCCTTGGTGGGAGCCTCCCTTGTGTCTTTCTTGGCTTACTACTTGCAGTAAGCAATACCTGGAAAGGAATAAGTGTGCCTGAAGAAGAGAAGAATATCATGAAGAAAGATCAACAATGAATATGAACATTTGGTTAAATGTTCATTCTAATCTTTCTTATTTCTTTTCTTTGTTTCATCTGAATATGTAACTGAAATTTCATTACTTAATTACATTCATTGTAATAATAATATAATCTATTATGTAAATTGATACATGCTTCTTTCTTCCATGCTTTTGATTCTGTGACACACACACATAGCAGTTTATGTTATAAAGAATGGAAGACATGAACTTATTGTCAACAACGAGACAGGATGGTAATTCTGGGAAAAGAAAAGTAAAAGGTCTTACTCTTACAGCTGTTGGCGTTTGTGAGAATCCACTCCTGTTAGGCACGAGGTTGAAATGTGGATAGAAGAATTTTACCCGTAACAGAAAGAGCTAATCAAGAATTGATTTCTACCAAAATCCTGTTCTTTTGTCAAAACAATGCATCATCATGCATCACCAAACTAATAATTGCTGTAACTACATTCACCAAGGCAATTCACTGGGAAGACAATGGGAAATATCATTCTGCTAAATGTGGACAATTTTTTAAAAATTTGTACAGACATAAATGTTCTAGAATAAATATAGATGAATTGCAATTCACTTCCGTTTTGTCTTTCTTGGGGCCTTGCTGCTTTCAAGTTTCTTACGCGCAGCTTCAAATTCTTCTTCACTTGGTTCTGCATCTGCTTTGCCACCATACTTTGATACGAGTGAGGAGAACATGGAATCAAACCGACCTTTCCTCTCATTTTGGCGCTGTGATATGACCGCGAGTAGATCTGCTTCAGACTGTTTACTTGACCTGTAAAGATTAAACACGCATCTAAATCTCAGAGTTGCATTGAATTGAAACATTTTAATTTTATAAACAAAATCGGCAGCAGTTAAGCACACACTTCCTCTTTCTCAAAGGACTCGTAGGTGGCTTCATTTCAGATACTTGCTTTGCCCATTTCTTGTAGGCGTTGGTTTCCTCTACTTCTCCTATGAAAGAAAGACAGAGGAGTCAGTATAAGAAAGTCACTTTCCCCCCTATAATTTCTTAAAGCACAACCCAATAGTTGAAATTGAATCAATCAGCATTCAGGTCTTTTTCATCCATACTTGAGAAGCTAAAATAAAATCATTTATTATTGCATGTCTGTATGACAGAATTTATAAGCAACACAGATTATAGACACAGGACAAATGCAAGATTCCATTATAGTTAAAGAATAGAAAAATTCTAGTTGAGTTGGAATAAAAGCCTCACCAACAGCAATTGCCTCATCAAGGATATCCTTGAAACGGTGTGAATCTAGCTTAGGATCCGAACAAAGCATTGAACAGAAAAGCCTGTTAAGTAAAAGAATAAATAAATAAATAACACATCAATTCTGGCAAGCCTAAAGTTAGGAAAAGAACCAAATTGCCCTCTTACCTGTTCATATTCCCCTTGCACTTCTTATAAAGATCAATCAAATCTTTCTTCTCTGAATCAGAACCCCTATATTTTCCTTCAAACTCTTCAATGTCAGCCTCAGTAACCTTCAAAATGGATGCATACATTAAGTTTGTAATTGATCAAGACAAAAAATTGATGGCATTAAAATCTGTTAGTGTGCCACAAGTGTTACCTTTTTGTACATATTTCTGAAAAAATCTCGCAGATTTTGAACAACATCCCCTGCAAGGTCCTGTTAAACAGAGTACATAGCAATGAGATACAAAATGCAATGTCAAGGAAATAGTTTAGGCACATGTAGCAACTACAATGGGTCCATTTTCTTCTTGCAACCATTAAATTGAGTATCTCCATGTCATTAAGAGTCAATTTCCAAACAAAAAATAACATTAATTAGTTTAATAAGTCAGTAAATTCTAGGAGATGCATGTTATCAAATGGTAGAAAAAAAATATTTTTATCCACCTCTGCTTCCAATAGAGAAGCCCTAGAAACATAATAAGATTCTCTAAGCACTCACAGCGTCATCAACACAGCCAGTTTGATCATAAAGTGCCCGCTTCTCCTCGTCACCAAGAATGGATATCACCTTTTGCAATTGCTGAAATTTCTCGTTGGCTTCCTGTGGGACATAATTTGGCACATTACAATTCACAAATAGAAAAAAGAAATAATATTTACCTAGTCATCTTCCAGGATCAATGGATATGCAGAAAATGGGGCTCAACATCAAAACAAATCAACTAAAACTTTTACCTCATCACCAGGATTCTTATCTGGGTGGAGCCTCAATGCCAGCTTATAGTATGCTTT